CTCTGTTCTTGTCATTCTATACAGGTTAGGTCTTTGAATATATTATTGAATAACAGCCACAATAGCACTAACTGCATTTCTTTTATATTCAAGGGAAGTGTATGATTTTGAGAACATATCAGTATAAAATTGGTATACCTTGTTAGTTAATTAGGTAATCCTTTTCATTTCTCATAATTCTTTGGCTATAATATTTTTAAAAATGCATACATATGTTTAAAATATATATATTTCCATACTTTCTTCTAGTAATTTTGGTTTTCTATACTTTGAATTTTAACATTTCTATGATTTTATGTTTTTAGAATTTCTTACAGTGTATCTCTGATTTAAAAAAAAATCAGTCTGATAATTTTTGAATTTTCCTACTTTTTCTCCCCTGCCTCCCTCCCTCTCTTTCTTCCTTCCATTTGAGGTTGGGTCTCATTATATTAGCCCAGGTTTATCTTGAACTCATGGCTCATGTGATTTTCCTGTCTCAGCCTCCCAAGTACCTGGGACTACAGTCATGCCTGAAAATTTTTTGTCTTATAACTGGAATCTTAATTTTATTTATGTTTTGTGTGCTGAGGATTAAACCCAGGGCTTCCTGCACACTAGGCAAGCACTCCCTCAATGAGCTACACCCCTTGACCTTACAGGGAGACTTTAGTTCATATTTATTATTGTATGTACTGATCTACTAGGATTTATTCCTATCACCTTTTTGGTGCTTTATATTTCTCCATTTTGTCATTCTCATTTTTTTATTCCTTTGCATTGATTGAAGGTTTCCCCCCTCTTCTCAGTCCAGTCTCCTCTGTTCTTGCTTAGAAGTTATAATCTTTGTGCATCTATTGTTTTAGTGATTACCTGACTAATTTAGTAGTTTCAATTAACAAAGTTTAACAATATTTTTCCTCCTCCTGAATAATGGGAGAACCTTAGAAATCTTTATAGGTCATAATCTCTTTCCAGTTCTGGGATCCAGTTCTAGGCTAATACCTTTCCCCCACAAATTAGATGTCATTGTTTTTATAATCAAATTGAGATTTACTCACATGTTTATATCTTTGCTGATTATTTCTTCTTTATATCAAGCCTTTTATCTGGTAAGGTTTACATTACTTCTTTCTGCAATATAACTTTTGAAATTTTCTTCCTCCTTCCCTTCTTTCCTTCCATACTGGTGATTGAACCTAGGGGCATTCTATTCCTGAGCTACAGCCCCAGCCCTTTTATCCTCCTCCAATTCTTTTATTAACAATTCAAGTCAGGGTCTTGATAAATTGCCCAGGCTGCCCTTGAACTTGTGAACCTCTTGCCTTAGCCTCTCAAGTAGTTGTGATTACAGGCATAAACCACTATGACTGGCTTTTACCATCATTATTGAAAGATATTGCCCTGGAGCTATAATTCTAGGTTTGTAGTTATTTTCCTCAACATATCAATTTTACTTTCTTTTGTGCTTTGTTCTTGTTGCTGTTGAAAAGTTAGTTTTCAATCAAAGACAGCACCTTTGTTAGTGTCCATCTTTCATCTGTGCCTACTTTTAATTCTTTCCTCCCCTTTGGAGTTCTGCATTTTTCCAATCATAGTGCTACAGGTGGATATCTTTTTACTTATACTGCTTGAGATGTTCTTGGCTTTTTGGATCTGAGAATAAATGTATCTCTTTGGATTGCCTCTTCTCTACTTTATGATTTCCTTCATAATACTGATTAAGTATCATGACTTTTTTTTTTTTTTTTGTAGTACTGGGGATTGAACCCAAGGTCTTGTGCATGCCAGATAAGCACTCTATCACTAAACTACATCCCCAATCTTTTTTTAAAAATTTAATTTTTATTTTGAGACAGAGCCTCACAAAGTTGCCCAAGATGGACTTGAACTTGTGATTATCCTGCCTCAGTCTTCAGAGTAGCTGGGATTTTAGATGTGTGCTACTACACTCAGCAGGCATTATAACTCTGAACATCTCTTTTATATTTTTCTATCTCTTTGTTATTTCTGAACTGCTTTCTGGAAAATGTCTTTGAAATGTTTGTTCTGAACTGTTTTGCATTCTGTATTCTGTATCTGTTTTCCAGTTCACTAATTCTCTCTCCTACCAGATCTAAACTAAACAGTTTTTTAAGCCTCTTACTTCCCATTTTTTTTTTAAAGAGAGAGTGAGAGAGGAGAGAAAGAGAGAGAGAATTTTTAATATTTATTTTCTAGTTCTTGGTGGACACAACATCTTTGTTGGTATGTGGTGCTGAGGATCGAATCTGGGCCGCACGCATGCCAGGCAAGCGTGCTACCGCTTGAGCCACATCCCCAGCCCTTACTTCCCATTTTTAAAAAATCCTTGAAGTACTATTTTGTTCCATTTCAAATGTATTTAGCTGTTCCTGACAGTTCCATTCCTTGGCAAGATTTTCAAACTCTTGTTTTATTTCATTAGGCATGTAGCTTTTGTATTTGGTAATTTGCTTCTTCCAGTTCATTCCATGATATCTTGTTTTTTCCTAGGTTTTGTGATATTTTTTTTCTTTGAGTGTCTCTTGTCTTGGAATTTTATCTAGGGATTCTTCGAGGTCAAGACTGAAGATGAATTTATACAGAAGGTTTATACTTCTGTACCAGGTGACTTGACTAGAAACCTTCTTTCTAGTCAAGTCACCTGGTATCACTACCAATTTGGGATCTTTTTATATTGAAATATTCTATTTTTAAATTTAGCTAGTTTGCTATTTTGTTTTGGCCATGTAGATGGTATGAATCCAGATAGGAAACCTCTCTGAGACCAAATTGTGGTTCCAAACTCTTTTTTTTTTTTTTTGGTCGTAGATGGACACAATACATTTATTTATTTATTTGTTTGTTTGTTTGTTTGTTTGTTTGTTTATTTATTTATTTATGTGGTGTTGAGGATTGAATCCAGTGCCTCAAAGGTGTGAGGCAGGCACTCTACTATTGAGCCACAACCCTAGCCCCTGTGAAACTGGAAAAAAGTCCTCTGTAACAAAATGTATACAGTTCAGAAATTGTACAAAACATTAATTTAGCAAGATGAAATTGGTTACAGTCACCAAAATTAATATTCAATATACTGTTCACTGCCACTTCCATGAAGATACTCAGAAAAATAATCACTGGCTGAAAAGTTACAATAGGAGCTATTTATTTATTTATTTATTTATTTATTTTAGAATTTTAACATTTATTTATTTTTTCTTAGTTCTCGGCGGACACAACATCTTTGTTGGTATGTGGTGCTGCTGAGGATCGAACCCGGGCCGCACGCATGCTAGGCGAGCGCGCTACCGCTTGAGCCACATCCCCAGCCCCAATAGGAGCTATTTAAATGTTATGCAGAACAGAAAAGGTCAATCTTCTACAACCAAATTCTTTTTTTTTTTTTAGAGAGAGAGAGAGAGAGAATTTTAATATTTATTTTTCAGTTATTGGCAAGTTCCAGTTTTTATCTTGAGAGATTCTATCAGACTCTGGAGATCTAGAGATCTGAATCTCAACTCTGAGATGATGCTTAGGCATTGTCCAAAGTGGGAAACTTGCTTATCTACCAGGGTTACTGCTTTCATTTATTTATTTATTTATTTTGAAACTTGAAGGTCCCTCTTATTTATACCAGCTCAATGATAAATTTAAAGTGTTTTAAAACATGTTTTATCCAATATTAGGTACTTCATTTGAGTGTATATTACATATGATATTACATACTATATATTACCTACATGTTACATACTACACATTACATGCTATTTATCACATATATTTGTATAACACATTTATCAAATATGTGATAGAGTCAGGCATGATGGTGCATGACTATAGTCCCAGCAGCTCAGGAGGCTGAGGCAAGGGGAGTGCAAGTTCAAAGCCAACCTCAGCAATTTAGCAAGGTCCTAAGCAATTTAGTGAGACTCTGTCTCAAAACAAAAAATGAAAAAGGGCTGGGGATATTGTTCAGTGGTTAAGTGCCTCCGGGGTCAATCCTTGGTACCAAAATAGAAAAATAAGAGAAGATATTGATTTTTTTTTAATAAGGAGCTAGCTTATGACATTGTGGGGCCTGTTAAGTCCACAGTTTGTAGAGCGGACTAGAAGTTTCAAGTCTTTATCCAGAGTTCATATTGTTAATGTTGTAATCTCAGGTCCAAGGGCAGTTCAGAGACAAAATTCTTTCCTCTATGAGGGACCTCAGTCATTTCTCTTAAGGGCTTCAGCTAAGTGGGTGAGACCTATCCATATAATGGAGAGTAATTTACTCTACTCAAAGACTACTTTAAATGTTAACCACATCCAGAAAGTACCCTCACAGCAACAACTAGACTGGTGTCAGACCGAACAACCGGGCAATGTGACCCAGCCACATTGATACATAAAATCAACTATCAGCATTGATCCACCACAGTGCTGGGAACAAAAGGCAGAGCTACACATTTTCATGATGAAATAATAGCCCAATTAAGTAATAAAACACCGTCATGCTTAGAGACTTCCTTAAGGTTCAATGAGACACTGAGTATCCTCTTAGAAGGCTGCCACACTGTTCTGCTCTCAGTGTTGCCCTGTGGGTTCATAGTGCTCATTACAGGCACTGTAGGTTGTGAGTGTGTGCTCTTCCATACAGAATTACAGGAAAAGGAGGGTAATGTAATGACCTTAGGGTCTAGGCCATTGTGATACAAAGTAACCTGGAAAACTGTATTCTTTATTCAAACTTGTTTGGATCTTTTAAGATTCCAGGTAAGGCCAGCCATTGTCACCAGTTGGCCAGGCTGGGTTGGCCAGTTGAGCTGGGTTCAAAGGAACTGGTTGTATCAATAACTAAGAAAATGGCGAAGAAGCCACACAGCACACGAACATGAGTTTCTAAGAATGAGGGCAGGATGGCTCGGTGACCCCAAGGGTCAGTTCCACGCTGGGCAGCACTGGAAAGAGCAAGAGAGCGAGCACATTGGACAACCCCCCCCCCTATTTATGGGGGAGGAGACATTTGATAGAATATTCCACCCAAATAAGGCAAGGGGTAGAGTTTCGAAGGGTGGAGTCTTGCTTGATGATGTCTTGTGGTCAGAAGATTAATTGTCCTCTTGAAAAGTCACACCCATCTCAGATGCTGTGTGGGATCATAGGCAGAGCAAGAGGAAAGGCACGTTAGTGTCGCACAGTGTATAGCCCAATCAGCGCGCAATGCAAGACCAGACCCCTCATATGCTCAAATGTGCACAGCTCACATACACAGCTCATGGATGGCTCAAGACAAGGCATGGTGGTGCACATCTCTAATCTCAGCTACTCAGGAGCCCGAGGCAGGAGGATCCCAAGTTCAAAGCCAATATGAGCAACTTAGTGAAACCATTTCTCAATATAAAGAATATAAAAGGGCTGGGGAATGAAGCTTAGTAGTTGAACACCCTGAGGTTCATTTGCTAGTACAATATATATATATATGAAATAAAAAGAAAAAGGAAGAAAAATCCATGTGTAGCTGGGGATATGTAGCCCTGGGATGAATATTGAGTGTGAAGTTCCTTGACTGATCTCCAGCATCATAAAAACAGCCAGCTCATTAATTTATTTTTATTTTGTTTTACAGTACGGGGTTTAAGCCAGGACCTTCTACTTGCTAGGCAAGTGCTCTACCACCAAGCTATACACCCAGCCCTCCCATGAGCATCTTAAGTTAAAAATATGAAGGGAGGACAGCAGAGACTAACTACTACATGATAGGATGTCAGAATAATGGTCATCCTCATGTTTAAATCTAAGGGGTAATGGGAAAGATTCCTTTTTTTTTTTTTTTAAGCTGCTCAGTGGGTGTTAAGTTACAGTTAGGAGTAAGAGGCTCTGGTGTGCTACCACACAGGAGGGTGACTAGATAACAATAATGTACTGCACATTTCAAAAAGTGGAAGAAGGAGTCTGAATGTTTTCCCATAAGGAAATGATAAATGTTTGAGAATATAGATGTAATTAACTCGATTTAAACATTGTACAATATATGCATGGATCAAAAATCACATAGTACTCCATTAAAATGTGCATTTTCTATGCTTTTATGTATCAGTCAAAAATACATTAATCATTGGTTGGGGTTGTGGCTCAGTGGTAGAGCGCTTGCCTAGCATGCTTGAGGCACTGCATTCAATCCTTAAAAACCACATAAAAATAAAATAAAGATACTGTGTCCACCTAAAACTAAAAAATATTTTTAAAAAATACATTAATCATGAAAAAGTTGATAGAAAAATATTGACAATTTCTTAGATACCGAGAAATAATGACATAAGTGTAAACATCTAGGTGTTTTTTAACCATTACATATAAAATGTTGATATTTTCACTTTTCAGATCTGGAAAAGCTTTCTGGTTTGATTAGAGTATTTGGGGAAAGCCTCTCTGGAAAGAGAATCCTGCAGCTTCTTCCTCTTTCTTGATATTTCTCTCTCTCTCTCTTTCCCTTTCTGTCATGAAAAACCAAGCCACACCTCAGCAGCAGGCATTATTGCTTTAAAACAGAACACTGAAAGTCTAAAATAGGAGCTTTGCAATATATGCATAGTCAAGGGGCTGGAAGAAAGTATCACCAGTGCTTGCCTAGATTGTGGAATTACCAATTATTTTCTTTTTTATCTTCTGTGTTTTTCAAATTTCCTGCAATAATCATAAAATAATTTTTAAAGACCTAAGTTATCTTGAAATATACGTAGCAAAAACCTAAGACAAATTGAGGAATTTCTATTTTATTTTATTTACTTTTGTGGTGCTAAGGATCAAACCCATGGCCTCATGAATGCTCAGCTTGCTCTACCCCCAAGCTACATTTCTAGCCCTAGAATTTTTATTTTAAACACAAATGGGTTTTCTTTATGCATGATATATAAACTACACTTTTATACTTTATAAAATCACATCAAAATAAGCTTTTCTGTTTTGGAACAATTGTTTTTCATGCTAGGAAAATTAAAACTCACCAAATATTAACAAATTCAGATAATTTTTATAAGGCTGGGGATGTAGCTCAGTAGTAGAGTGCCTAGTTGTAGAGAGCTAGTTAAGATAATTTTGTACATTTTTGGTAATGTTTAATATGTTAGAATAAGTTCTGCAGAATTCATAAATCTTACATCTGCATTTTGCTAAAACAAAATATCTTTGCAGCTTCTAATTTCAGCTGATATTTTGCTTGTCAGAAGCTAAAAGGCTGCAGTCACTAACACTTGTTACATCTTTTGAACCCCCATTGTCTATAAACAGGTTGGCTGTAGTTAGAGCTGTTACAATTCCAAACCAGGAAGCAAGTTCATCTGTAAAAGCTATGATTCTTTGTGCTAAGTAATCATGGAAAGGCCAGAAAGACCAGTTTAAGGGCAGAGGGGCTCAAGATAGCTCCTCGGGAAGTAATTATCTAAGCTAGGAAATGTGTCAATCTGTGAGATACTCAGCAGAGGATAACTACCAACCAAACAGAGAAAAATCGGTATCAGTGGTAAGACTTCCTAGGACTTAACTGCTTTTACTGAAAAGAAAAAAAAAAGAGAGAGAGAGAAAAAAAAAGAAAAAAGAAAAACAGAAAGAAAAGAAAAAAGAGTACTAAATGGCTAGATGGAAAAAAAAGTTTTGCCCTGGCATCCCATTGTTTTCTGGAGGGTTATCGGGATGGTGCTCAGTGACCTCTCTAATGCCACAAAGAGCAATGGCATCTGGATTAACAGAGAAATTAACATGTAGAAGAAACTTCAAAGGTCTCTACATATTACCCATAGAATTCTTTAATGTGTCTGTATACAAAACTTAGTATATGAAATTAAGCTTTACAAAATATGTCTAGATAGACATGTGGCTTCCTTGTTTGGTGGGTGGATTTAGAAAGTGATGTTGGGCCACCTGTAGTTTGTTTTCTACATTTTTATTGGTGTATTACAGTGGCACATAATGGTGGGATTTCTTGTTACATATTCGTGCACACCATATAACAACACAATTTGGCCAATATAATTTCTAAGTATTTCCCCTTTCCCACCTGTAGTTGTTAGTGTTAAACTGATCTCTCATTCAGCAGAGCAGTTAGAATTTCAGAATATACTACTAAAGATTGGTGTGATAAAAGAAGGCGAGATGAGAGGAATAAAACAGAAGTGTGATAATGTAAGTGAGAAGACAGACACTACAAAGGGGAAAGGAGGAAGGAAAAGAAAATGTAAAGTGAATGAAGGGATTAAATTGGGGACAGGGGGAAGAATACATCTCCATAGGGCCTTGCTCCCTGTGAACTGTTAAAATAGAAAACCCATCCCATAAACAAGGTGAAACCTTTCTTCAGAGAAAACACCCAGCTTTCTTAGTTGTTAGAAAGTTTCCTCACACTGATAGATCTTCCTCTTGTGGGTGGGTCTGCCTGATGTTAAGAACAAACAAAAAGGAATTGATACTAGGGATGATGTGCAAGCTGAGGTTGCCATCCATTTTTTCTGGCCCAGTTTAGTAATTTCTAACCTTGCTCATGCCCAGGGTGAAAAGACTCTGATTTCTATTTGGCCCTCTCTTTTCCCTTATTTTGTCAAGGGCAGTGAGAGATAGCTACAGTGTGAATTGATTCTAGTAGAGATTTTCTAATCTTTCCAGCAAATCACTTACTTGCTCATATCTTCTCCACTTTTCCCTGGCTAGTGTATTTTCTCTACAAGAGCAAACAGGAATACTAATAGGTTATACTGATAAGATAAAAACTTTTGACTATATAAATGATCAAAACCTGCATTGGAATTTGGAAGAATGCATTTGAAAATCTTGTACTTTTCTTTCTCTATACTTGTCTATTCTCATAATACTTGTGTGTGTGTGTGTGTGTGTGTGTGTGTGTGTGTGTGTGTGAATTCTGGTGATTGACCCAGGGCTTTGCACTTAATAGGCAAGTGTTCTACCACTGTGCTACATTCCCAGCCTTTTAAAACTTTGTTTTGAGACTGCATCTTACTAAATTGCCTAGGCCGACCTCGAATTTGCAATCCTTCTGCCTCAGCCTCCTGAGTAACTGGGACTACAGGTGTGTGCTACTTTGCCTGGCCCTTCAAATAATATTTGATGTCATAGCTCAGGAGAGATGTTTTGCTGTGGCCACTTATTGTCCATTGTTTGTCCATGTGTGATATGATGGAAGAACCTCATTTAGCTTGCCATGAGCTTTCCTTTCAATATCCCATTAACAACTTATGTGATGTAGGGCAAATCACTTACCTAAACTTTTTTCTGTGTAAGATGGAAGGATGGAAGTTTGGCCTCTGTCATGCCCCTACACCCCTAAACAATGCTGACTCAATATGTATCCTACCAATATGTGTTACACTTCATGCAAAGTGAATGTTATTGTACTCAAATAAGGTGCATTTATGAATTGAGAAGTAGGGAAGCCAGGAGAGAGGGGAGGAAAAGTGGAGCCCACTTGAAAACTTAAGTAACATAGGCCAAAGCTGACTGGTTTACAAAAAAGGCTTTTGGTATTTTAAAATTCATGAAATAACTGGGGAAAAAGTAGAAATTCAGAAAAATAAGGTTTCAGACTGAATCATTTATGGGAATTCAAATCTATGACATATTGTATTTTTTACATATTCATAGGCTGTTAAAAAATCTTATGATTGCCAAGTCTGAGTTTCCAAATTTTTGTTTTTAAATCTGAAAGTCAGCATTCTCTTTTTCTTCAATTTTATAATAAGAAAAAAGTATATGTTTTAAAAATAATCACTCAAATTTGTTCCTGACAACTGGTAAGAAATTTCTATTTCTTGTGATGAGTGGACATATGGTCCCCAGATACAATAATAACAAAAATAATTATAGTAACAACAAAACCAAAATAAAACAGCAAAAACTATCTCTGACTGTTACTATGTGGCAGGAACAATGCAAGGCTTTAACTTATCCATCACACTTAATTCTCACCTCTATCCTATAATTGCTTTGATCTCATTTCCCAGATAAGTAAATGATGGCCTATTTTCTTTCTTTTTTTTTTTTTTTTAATATTTATTTTTTAGTTCTCGGCGGACACAACATCTTTGTTTGTATGTGGTGCTGAGGCTCGAGCCCGGGCCGCACGCATGCCAGGCGAGCGCGCTACCGCTTGAGCCACATCCCCAGCCCTGATGGCCTATTTTCAAGACTAAACCAGAAGAGCTAATTAAGAAGATGCACCAGCATCCATTCATTTCTTTTGTGTACTAGGGATTGAATTCTGAGCCCTTGACCACTGAGCCACATCTTCAGCCCTAATTTATATTTTATTTAGAGACAGGGTCTCACTGAGTTGCTTAGCACCTCACTTTTGCTGAGGCTGGCATTGAACTCTCGATCCTCCTACCTCAGCCTCCCAAGCCTCTGGGATTACAGGCATGTGCCACTGTGCCCAGCAAGTCATATTTATTTTTCAAGATTGGCTCTTACTTGTGTCTCTCTCTCTCTCTCTTTTAGTTGTAGCTGAACACAATATCTCTATTCATTCATTTTTATGTGGTGCTAAGGATTGAACCCAGTGCCTCACACATTTGAGGCAAGCATTCTATCACTGAACCACAACCCCAGCCCTTAGTTGTATATTAATTTTGGGAAATAAAAGCAATTATAGGAGTTATTTATTTTTAATGTTTTATAATAGCTTTATTGAGATATAATTCATGTGCCATAAAGTTCATCCTTTAAGTCATATGGTGGTGGACATCTGTAATCCCAGCAACTAGAGAGGCTGAGGAAAGAGTATTTCAAGTTTGAAGCTAGCCTCAGCAATTTAACAAGGCTCTAAGCAATTTAACAAGACACTGCCTCAAAATAAAAAATAAGGGCTAGAACTGTGGCTCAGTGCTCAGTGGTTAAATGCAGCTGGGTTCAATCTCCAGACCCAATAAATAAATAAGTAGTACAATTCAATAATTTTTAGTGTATTTGGAGTTGTACATCCATCACTCTCAAATTTCAGAACATTCTCATCACCCCAAAACACAAACTCCATACCCTTTAGCAATTATGTCCCATAGGAACCCTAATTTACTTTCTGTTGCTATGGATTTGCATACTCTGGGCATTTCATATAAATGGAAGCATATATTATTTTTTTGTGTTTGGCTTCTTTTTTGCTTAGCCTAATGCTTTCAAGGCTCATTCTGCTGTAGTATGCATCAATATAACATTTTTTTATTGATAATAAAAACTTTTTATTGCCAAATAATATTCCATTGTACAGATATGCCACATTTTATTTATTCACTTATTAGTTGATAGAAGTGAATTGTTTCAATTTCTTGGCTGATATGAACATTCATATATAAGTTTTTATATGGATATATGTTTTCAATTCTCTTGGATATATTTCTGGGTCCTGTGATAAAGCCATACTTAACTTTTTGAGGAACTACCCAACTATTTTCCAAAGTGGCTGTACTATTTTACATTCTCACCAACAAAATACGAGGGTGTAATTTGTCTACACCATCACCAACACTTGTGTCCATCTTTAGTATAACCAGGCTACTGATTGTAAAGCAGCAGGTCACTGTGGTTGTCATTTACATTTCCTTAATGATTAATGATATTGAGGAGTCATTTATTTTTATGATTTAAAATAATCTTTATGGAGGAGCACAATAGAATTACTCTTAGAGCTTTTACAAAGTACTATCTGGGCTTTACACAGCTTAAAGTGGTGAAAATATTTGCCAAAAAGACCTACTGATATTTGAAATGTAATAGAAAACCCATTCATAATGGCTAACCAACAAAGAAAATTATGATTTCAGGTAGCAAGAAGGAATTACTGAATTGTTTAAAATAGTAGCTCAGTACTATCATCGAAATCCAACTTCCTCCCGTGTGCTGTGCCACCTTAATGTGCCCATTTTGAATGTGTACTTTCAACCTTTGTGGGAGCAAAATGGCTACTGAAATTCCAGGAAGCCCATCTGGATGGAAAATGTCCCATGGAAGAGAAACCTTTCCCAAAAGTTTCTGACTGTCTTTTTTTTACATCTCATGGGCCTAGAACTGTATGCCACATGCTCACATCTAAACCAATCACAGGCAAAAGAAACGGGAATTCTACATATATGACTTAGTTGAAATGAGATTTACTACTTTCCTAAATGGAAACTAAATGGGAATTCTACTAATGGACAAGGGAAAAATGAATGTTGGACTAGTCAACTAATAATGTCTCGGCTACAGACTACAGCATCATGATGAGGAAAGATATTCAATTGAATCTTGAAATTGCTGCTCTTGAATCACTGACACAACACTAATTTCATATGGTTCAACCTAATAATTTCCAATGCCATTTAAACAGACAGATTTGGTTGGGGGTAGGGAGAAAATAATATTGGCCCCAGGTTTTAGTTCAATCACTTAATATAGCTCATGAAGTGTGAATCACTTAAAATGATTGATACAAGTAAATCAGACTCCTGTGAGCAAGAAGAATTTGCATAATATCTTATCTGATTTTTTTTTAAATCTCTTGCTTGGCACATCTCAAATGTTAGGAAATATTTCCACAAATCCAAGGCCCAAAGCCATTTTGTCCTCTTGCATGCAACAATGAAGTCTGTGAATGTTTTATTTGTACAGATTTAACACTGTTAAATTTTAATTTTGAACAATTAAATCACAGAATGCATTATCCTGTTTTTATTAAAAACATTTGAATATTTCAAAGTGAAAGTTGCTGTTTATCTTCCATTTTAGGAGTCTTTTTATTCTGGCAGACTTTGAGAAGTCTAAAATACAATATTTAGTATATGGTAGAGACGGGACTCTTTGAAGATTGGGCCATCCTTGAATTGTACAGAGCTACGCAAGGGGCACATTGAAAACTGGCAACCATTTTTTTAAATATTAAATTTATAGTTTCATTTTAAAAAAATAGTACTGTATCAGCACAATACAAAATTCAAGAGATATAAAAGTTTTAGTGAAGTCTCCCTCCCACAGCTATTCCTCAGATATTCAGTTCTCTTTTCCAAAAACAACAAGTACTAGAAGAAAGTTTTTACATCAAACCTCACATTTCCCTACAAATATTAGTATACTTTATACAATATTCTGCTCCTTATTGTTTTGGTTATTTACCTAACAAGCTATTTTTGAGACCATTCCAAATGGGAACATAAAGAGCATCCTTGTTTATTTTTTGTAGTTTGCCTAATATTCCAGTCTATGGAGGTACTCTGTTTCTTTAACCAGTTTCCCCTGGATGGAAATTTAGATTGGTTTCAGTCTTTCACTATTATGAACATTGCTGTAAAGAATAGCTTTTATGAAACACACACATATATAGTTTTGTACATATGCAAGTATACTTGTAAGGAACAACCATTAGAGGAGAACTGCTACATTAAGGGATGTTTGTTTTTTAATTTTTGTTTTGTTTTTGCCACACCTGTGAACAAACTAGGACCTCCCACAAAGACAGGCAAGGGCTCTACCACTAGGTTACATCTATAGCTCAGCATGTACATGTCTGTCATTTAGACAGATAGTGCCAGCTTACCCTCCAGAGATGATGTAGATATTTAAACTCCAACAGCAGTACCTGAGAACACTTGTTCCCCCAACAAGGGGCAGTTTTCTAGAGGAGAGAAGTCATCAGGTTGTCCCTCACCTTCAATCTGGTATGTGGGCAGGACCCAAAAAAGGATCTTGCCCTCATTTTTAATAACACAGAAAAATACTCATATTACAGTATTAAGGTAGGAAAAGGAAAAATACAAATCTGAACTGTATAGAAATTTTACAGAAAAAAATGGATTGTTATAATTGAAACATTGACCACATTTAAAGGTTTATATTTTTCTACAATTAGCTGAAAACAATAACAAAGTAGCTGGTGGTGTCATCCTTGGGTTAAGAATCTCAGTCCCTACAAGGTATTTCAGAGGAAGCCTCTTAGAGCAAAATCACTTGAAGGAGGCTCCATATGGCTCCATTTTAGGCTGAGCTCCTACTCTACCTTCAGTGTCACCTTCATATTTCCCCAAAGACCAAGGGGCTAGAGTGGCATCTCATCTGTCAAAAGTAAAATTCCAACAGGAATGTATCTTTTTTCTTTCTTTCTTTTAAAAAATTTCTCTGAGCCAGCACCTGTAATCCCAGCGGCTTGGAAAGCTGAGACAGGAGGATGGCAAGTTCAAAGCCATCCTCAGCAAAAGTGAGGTACTAAATAACTCAGTGTGGCCCTATCTCTAAATAAAATACAAAAGAGGGCTGGGGATGTGACTCAGTGGTTGAGTGCCCCTGAGTTCAATCCCTGGTACCAAAAATAGATAGATAGATAGATAGATAGATAGATAGATAGATAGATAGATAGATAGGTAGAATAATAAAAATTCCTCTGGTTTGCTGATTTTACATTTTCCACATTAGGTTTCCATCATGTTTTCTGGCTTCCCCCTGTGGTTTTCTTTTTACTAAGACCATTAAAAGTATTTCCAGGGACTTGAGGTATAGCTCAACAGTAGAGCAGGTGCTTAGCATGTGGGAGACATGCTGGAGCTGGGTTGGATCCCTAGCACCAAAAAACAAAACAAGAAAAATCAAAACAAAAATCCCAAACTGGGTGTGGTGGTGTATGCCTGTAATCCCAGCTACTCTGAAGACAGAGGAAGGGGGGATCACTTGAGTCAGAGTTAGAAACCAGCTTGGACAACACAGGGGGATCCTGTTCAAAAGAAAAAAAATATGAACCCTAAAAGACCAGTCTATCTAGGAAAAAAGTGCTGCTCTTTTGCTAATAGCCAGTCTTTGGGTCCCTCAGGCACCTAGAACTCAGCCTGGCAAGGGTGATATATTTGGAGCATTTCTCCAGAGAGGTGCCTGGAGGTACCCATGGCCCTGGCCTGTCTTGCACTCACTCAGCATAAAGGCGGATGGCTGTTGCAGTTGCAATTTTCTCTCTAAACCCAACTTCTTTTGTTGACTTGCAGAGGCTTACATTCCAGAAAAGGTAATTTGAAAGTGCTGCTGAATTTAGATGCATTTTGCTAATTTGTTTTTATTATGCAAAGAAATATTGGTATAAAAGGTGTTTCAATTATTTTCTAAGGGAGGGACCTATGTATTCTCTGCAGCCACAAAGCTTTTAAATGGAGTTATTTTTCTCGGCCTATAATCGTCCTCCCTTTTAAGTACCCAGCAGCAAAAGTAAGTTGACTGCTCCCGGCACAATGGGCCTCTTCACTTTTTAGGTTTGGGAGACCTGGGTGACCTACGAAAGTTAATTAGAAGGTTAACAAAGACGAAGACAGAGTCGAATCCATCGCCTCTCCTTCAGCCAAAGATGTCATCCATTAATTAGGGAAATCTTTAAGGTGGCCTTTATAGAATCCATAGAAAATCTGTCGGTGGCGGTCCACAGTTTTGATCAGATTTTCCTCTCCCCCATAATGCTATCCTTAATGGTACGAAAAGCAGAGGGCCGGGGTGGGGAGAGGGCGCGGGGAGGGGGTGGGAAGGATGTGTTTCAGCAACAGTACAGTTAACCAGCCGCCGATTGTGACGGCTTTGATTCTCAGGCCGCCCCGCATACTTGCTCCATGATGTAATCCTTATTGAACCTGCGAGCCGAGGGAGCGAGGGGAGGCGGGCGAAGCCGCTGCCACCGCCTCGCAGCCACAGGAGGCCCCGGGAGTTAATAGCGCCAGCCCCTGGGGTAGGCTGCGCCCTCGTCTGCAGCGAACCGCCGCTCAGCTGCCGGGAGGGGACCGGTCCCCGCGGGCGCTGGGCTTCCGCGGCTCGGTGTGGGGGCGCCTCGCGGCCGCGGTGTGGGGCCCGACCCTGGCAGTGGCTCTGGGAGGAGTTCTCAGGGCCCTCCGGGGTCTTCCCTGGTTCTGTCTTGCTCCTTAGTTCTGAATCTGTGACATCAAAATTGCAGTTCAAGGAGGAACAAAGTCCTCCGACCAGAGCTTTGCCTATAGAAAGGCGGGTATGCGTCCTGGTCCATGGACACCACCCTCCTGTCTATACGTAGTTGAACCCAGAATTTCTGATTTGGACGGTAAAGGCTGCAGGGCTTGGGTTTGGATAGTATTTATATAAAGATGGTGTCAATTCTGAACACGGAATGCCTTTATTTTAAAATGTGGATTTCTTCCTTTTTTTCTTTTCTTTTTTAACCTTTTAAACCATTTTGAGGTACAGTCACAAGGTTGTGTGACCATCCATTTCCAACACTTTTTTGTCTTCCCAAGCAGCAATCTCTGTAGGCATTGTAGAACTCATTTTTGAAACTTGCATGGGTTTTCAAGTTATCAACAAATTCTATTAAAGAAATTTGCATCTTTGAAGGGGTTGGTAGTTTTAGTACAGTTCTCCATGGCCCTAGGTGGAACAATATAACATAGCCCTGGTCTACTGTGTAAAAATTTCCTGTACTTTCAGCCTCACACCAGATTGCTATTGAGCTGTTCTGTGTAAAAACTCACCCAGATAATAGGTTGCCTTTTGGGTTTGCCTTCTTTCCTTGCTGGTAGAATAGGTAAGAGTTTCTGTCCCTCAGAAAACAGGTGTCATTCTCAGTTCTTAGCAGCACAGAAGAAATTTAGTGTTTGTATACTAAATATGCAAACTATATCTGGTAACTCCATCTATACCCGGGTCCTAATCTCTTTCTCTCTGGAGTCTGTCTCCCAGTCATCCTCCCAGCCCCTACCTCCTCTTCACCCTGCATGAGACCCAAGTCTATAAAGATCAGACCAGGGCAGGGCACTGGCAATGGCCAGTGGAGGCCCTGCCAGGTGTCCCCTTAGCCAAATCATCCCTTCTTTCCTGGCTGTGGGCACAACACTGGAGAAAATGAGGGAGAGAAATGTGCTCCCAAGTGCCCAGACAGGAACTGTCCAAAGTCAGCTGAGTGGTTATAAGTGCAATAGTCAACTACATTCATTATGAAATGTGAGCAAAAGTGCTACTTGTTGCCAACACTGTAGATTAAAATAAAAACCCACCATTCCCAAGTCCAAGGAATCTCTATTCCCCTGCCCAAAGCTCTATGCCTTTGTTGTTGTTGTATGTGTTCTTAGCACCTATGTTGTTAAACTGTTTGATATTTCTTTGCTGTTAAAATTAAAAGGGTATGAAGGCCCTCAGGGGAATTCTGGGGGCTGAACCCTGAGCCTCACACAAGATAAGTACAGGCTTTATCACTGAAGTACACCCCCAGTCAAGGAGCAGAATGTTAGCATTTGGTGGTGGCTCTGGTGCTGAGTCACACAAAGAGCTGCTGTGTGGCTTCCTTGCCCCACTAACTTTGTTAGCCGAGATTTCCATGTCTGCCCCCCCACCCTTATGGCACAAGAAGAATCACCTGAGAGGCTTTTAAAATTTTCCAAGATCTGGGCTGCATCTCAGACCAATTACATCTAGGGGTGGGATTAGGGTATAGCATATTTTTAAGCTCCCTAGGAGATTCCAGTTTGTTTAGAAATCTGAATGATTTGTGGGATTGAAAACTCAGAAGTTTAATTTTATGTATCAACTTGACTAGGCTACAGGATACCCAGTTATTTGCTGGAAACATTATTTTGGGTGTGTATATGAGTATGTTTCTGTATGAGATTAATATTTAAATTGGTAACCGAGTAAAGCAAATTGTCCTCTCTCGTGTGGGTAGGTCACACCCAATCAGTTAACGGCCTAAAAATAACAAAAATGCTGAAAGACCATCCATGAATAAGAGGTAACTCCTGCCTGACTGCCTTTGAGCTGGGACCATTGGTGGTGTTCTGTCTTTGCATTCCAACAAAAACTTCATATGTTCCTGGGTGGATCTGCAGCCCACTGGCCTTCAGACTGGGATTGTACTGGGTTCAGCAGATCTTTCTCATTGAATATATTAGCACTTATCATTCTCCATAATTTTTGTGAGTTAAGTCCACACAATTTCTGTGTGTGTGTGCTTAGCTCCTGTCACACTTTCTTATTTTCCTTTTTGTCCCTTGAGGACCAGGAATGTCTATCCTATACCTGTCCTCCAGGGCACCTTGGAAGCACATGGTTTGTGTGTTTCACGGGTTAACAACTAGAGAGAAATTTTGCCTCAGAATGAATAGTGCCTCAAGTTGAGCTTTACCCATGGCTGATTCAGATGCTGATTTAGAAGAGACTTGGGATTTTAAACTTTAGCTTGATACCAGAATGAGTTAAAACTTTGGGGGCTATTGGGATAAGATGCATTTATTTGTTAGAAGGACATGAATTTTGAAAAGCCTGAAGGAGAATGTTAGAGGTTACATGTTTGTGATTCCTCAATATTCATATTGAAGCCCTAACCCCAATGTGTGACTGTATTTGGAGACAGGGCCTGTGAGAAGGTGATAGAGGCTAAATAAAGTCTAAGGAAGGGGCCATGATCTAATAAGGCTGGTGCCCTTATAAGAAGAGGAAGAAATCAGACATGGTACCTGTAATCCCAGCTACTTGGTAAGTTGAGGCAGGAGGGTCACAGGTTTGAAGTCTACCTGGGCAATTTAGCAATACCCTGTCTCAAAGAAAAGAAAAAGGGCCAGGGTTGTCGTTCAGTGGTAGAGTGCTTTCCTAGCATGTGCGAGTTCTCAATTCAATCCCCACTATCAGGGGGAAAAAATGAAGAGGAAAAGATAACTGAGTATTTTTCTCTCTCTCTCTGCTATGTGAAGTCACAGAGAGAAGCAGCCACTTGCAAGCTAGGGAGAGAGCCTTCAGCAGAAATTGAATTAGCTGGCACTTCAATTCTGTACATCTCAGTCTCCAGAACTGTGAAAAATTTCTGTTGCTTAAGCCACCTCGTCTATGTATTTGTTATGGCAGCCCAGTAGACTAATACAAGAACCACATAAAGGAGGCACCAATCACCGAGTCACTCAGATTGCCTTCTAAAATAATCCACTCTGCGCCCTGGCCCAGCTGCCCTGTGAATTGCATTCTCCTGCACCTTGAGCTTATTGGCCGGGGGTGAGAACCTGACCAAGAGACTCTCTGTGTGGCCTCAGAAAGTTCCACCAGTTAGAACTTCTTTTAAGGTATTAAAATTCTCTTCCGAACTGCATGTCATGTTAAGATGTATTAACCTGGTGGATAACTGGAATACCTGCCTGAAAAGCTCATTCTAACAGGCCTAGTAGCTGTTCAGACCTTTCAGGAGCAAAGGTGAGGAGGGCAGCTGTGAAGACCTGATTAAGAAGCTGGCCAGGGAGGGTGATGGGGAGACTGGGAGTATGCATGGCTCCTGTGGTTACATTGCAGTTTTTCTCAGGACTTCAGATCATACAGAGCTTCTATCCATTCTCATGCAAATCATCTTGAGGGTCGTTTTTGTCATAGCTGCCCTCTTCAAAGATCATTTGATCCTAAAGGTAAAATGCCCATTCAAATTTACCTGTGCTTATGGGTGGAGCATAGTTAGCAGTGGATAACGGGGGTAGGTGAGGCTTCTTTTAGAAAACTACAGCTAATGCCTCCCTGTCTCTCTGTCTCCCTCTCTCTGGCCCTGTGCCTTCTTGTGTTAGCTTACCTGGGCAGGCCTGTCCACTCCCTCTGCACACATAGCTCTCAGCCACCCCCTGGCAGGGCTGGACCTTGCAGAGGGTTAGTTATCAAGTATCCACTAAGAAACAGGCATGCTAAAAAATTTTATTTGCTTTATTAGAAATAGCCAAAAAGACATTATTTTTTTCTATTTTAAATCCTAAATAATTAGATTCAAATTTGGATTAATGGGTACATTGGGGAGTGAAGTATTCTGACTTATAATATTTTCTGGATAAAATTTCCATGCTAACCAGAATTTTTTTTTTTAAGAATCTTGCACAAAAAATGTTTTTAGAATGTTCACTTTCCTTTTGGTAAACATAACAATATTTGCACTCTCCTGGTGACCTGTGAATCATGAGTTTAAACAGTAGTTCCATGGAAGAGATCACAGGGAGAAATGCAGTTCTGAGTTTAGAGTCACAGACCCCCTTACCCCCACTGGGTTGTCATAGGAGGCACCACAATGAACCTCTCTCTCAGAGCCCTACTTTCCTACTATGAGAAGGGGAAATGGAGGAGGTTATATTTGTCTTTTTAGCTCAGGCGTAATGAAGTTAATTAGTAAATTGAAAGTTTAAGTTATTGTTTTAGTCCTTGGCATCTAGGACTTGCCCTATTGATGTTTGTTGAGTGACTTCTACAGAGCTAATGATTTCAGATACAAGGTATGGGTAATGAGGCTGATCTGTACAAATCTCAGATCATTATTTTGAAGAGTTGAGGCCCATTTTTTGGATACTAAATTCCTCATATGGGCTAGTTCTGTTAGCTTCTTTCACAAAGTGAGATGTAGAAGCATCAGATAAATTGAGGGTTCAGTTTGTTAAGTTCAGGTTTAACTGAAATGCTAGCATATAAGAAAGTCATGAATAATTTATTGCTAAAAAAAAAAAAACGTTTTCAACAAATATTGCCATAGGATACCGAGAATACATTGTTGAACAGAAACAAACATAGTCACTGCCCTCATGGAACTGACAATCTGACTCTTAGTCACATTAAAAAGGCAAAAGCTATTTGGGAGGCTGAGATAAGAGAATTGCTTTGGCCTAGGAGCTCAAGACCAGCCTGGGCAACATAGCAAGACCCAGTTTCTCAAAAAAAAAAAGCAAAAAACTGGGGAGGTTTATGAATGTCACTTTTTTTTTCCTTTGAGACAGGGTCTTGCTATGTTGGCCAGGCTGATGGGTTTAATGATCTCACCTCAGCCTCCCAAGTAGCTGAGTAGCTGGAACTGCATGGTGCACTATCATGCCCAGGGATGAATGTCATTTTTGACTAGGGTCTGGCAGATGAGAGGAACAAGGGACAAACACCAGAGTCCAGTAATGCAGAAAGCAGGCCGGGGCCCAAACACAGACCCCACACATAGATTTTTTGATTCCTGCCCTGGCTGAGGTGGAGAAGTTTTGTGTTCCTCCCCACCACCCTGCCTACCTCCCACCCAGCCTCCCACCCAGGCTGGAGGACATCCTAAATGACTCTGTTTTAACAGTATCCAATTTTTGAGAGTCTACAAAGGGTCAGGCACCAAGCTGGACAGATTCCATGTTTTGTCTTTAATTATCAAAACAACCTTTTGAGGTACATGCTATTATCATCCTCAGTCTGCATTTGAGGAAACTGCAGCTTGTGGACATGGCCAAGGTCATGACTGGTGGTTACAGAAGAACTAAACCCAGCTCTGTCTGGACAGCTTTCCTGCCTCCTCCAAAGTCATACTGGCTCTTTATCCTTTCTTCCTCCCCCCTCCCCCCACTTCTCTCTTCTCTTTCTTCCTCTCTTTCTTTTCTACTGGGAATCAAACCCAGGGTTCTGCACATAGTTGGCAATTGCTCTAGCACTGAGATAAATCCCCCAACCATTTTTTAAAAATATTTTGAGGCAGGGTCTTTCTAAGATTCTTAGACTGGCCCCAAACTTGAGACCCTTCTGACTCAAGCCTCCTGAGTAGCTTTACCACTGAGCTACACTCCCCTGACCTTTTATTTATTTTTATTTTGCTACAGGGTGCTAGGGCATAATATTTCCCATAAAGATGAGTTTTCTTAATGGGTTAATAGCACTCCTTAAGAGGAAAAATTGAAGAAATGAAGAAGCGTTTTCTTTACCACCTCAGGCAACTGACAGAAAAGTTAAAAATTAGTTTTAAAAAATTGAGATTTAAAAAAAAATTGAGATTTTTACATCTTCATTTCCACTGACTGGCTATTTGGATATTGGGCAGTGGTATCCAGGAACTAGCTGCAGTGGTTAGTGTGAAGGCCTGGCAGAGGAAGGGGTCTGGAGGAAAGTCTTAGGGCATCAAGGCATCCAGCAGTGGCTCTTAACCTCAGTCAACTAATGTCTCAGCCCAGAGCACTCCCCTTTTTCATTGCAGAGACACACAAAGGCTGCTGATGTCCTCAAGGGAAAGCCTAGCCTATGGCTATGACGTATTACTAATTAAATGACTTAATTGTACAAAATATAACTACTAAGGTTCTACTTTCCCCTGTCTTTGCTACACTGCAGGAAAAAGTTTCCATGGCAATTGGTTTGTATAAGCAAAAACCAAAATTAAATTAAGAGGTCACATGCCAGTAGCAAAGACAAAATCAGGAAAACATTTTCTAATCAGAAACTGCAAAGAAATTGGGGCTTGAACATAATAGCAAAATTAGGGTTTGGATGGTGGTATTCTTTCAACCAACTTTTCACAAATATTTCCTGGAACTGGCCCAAGGAATGTATCCTAATTTAGCCTATTCTTCAGATGTAATTGAATTCACTTGTTTAGGTTGCTGCCTCTCCACCTTTCACCCTGATGGCAAGGTCAGCAATGCTCAGCTGACACTGGGCACACTGTGCCATTTCTAGACCATGCTGGGACCCTCTTCTCCAGGGATCCCCCAGAGATCTCTGAGGCTTCTTAGTCTTTTCTTCCACTGTCATTTCCCTTCCTTGAGAGATCCTTTCTGGCCCTGCACTTCCTCAAAACTACCCATCGACTTGCTCCTCCAAGCTTCTGCAACAGCCAACCACCAGAGTTACCCTCCTATGACGATGAGTGATGCCATTGGTCATCTGGGTAATAAATACTGTCTGTCTGGAAGGAATATGTTGAGAGGAAATATGAGAGAAGGTCCAGAATCCCAGATGGAAAGCACTTAGGATTGCACTAGAGATACTGAGCAGGATCTTTCCTCCTGGCTGAGGGATTCCAGAATTGTAAGAAAGAAGATAGCTTTTGTAGTTTGGGGCTGGGGAAAGGATTTAGCAGTACACACATCAAGTGGGAGTGAAAGGTCTCTAAGGACGCATTCGTTCCCATGTTAGCCTCCAGACAGCAGGCTACTGGCTAGGCATCTACTTAGCCTGGAGACCCAAAAGCCATCTCCACAGGGGGGCCAGGGCATGCCAAACAATTCCCTGCTCCTAGAGGTTGTATGTGTTCTGACAATCTCTGCCTCTGCCTCTCCCTCCCTCTCTCTCTCTCCCTCTCTCTCTCTCTCTCTCTCTCTCTCTCTCTCTCTCTCTCACACACACACACACACACACACACACATCAGTGCTGGGGAAGGAACCCAGGCCCTCACAAAAACTAAGCAAGTCCTTTACTGCCCCCTTTTTCTTTGACTGAAGGTGGTGAGGTAGTTCTTAAGAGGAATTTTATTTGAATGTAAAAACTAAAAACAAAACAAAACAAAAAAACAACTTCCTTCCCTTTTTGGAGATTCTCTTTTCCTACTGCATCTGTCAGAGACTAATGTTTGCAACTTGTACGTGCCCACACGTGTGTGTGCACACACCCATCACCCACCCTCCCAGCAGCATCCCGGTGTGCAGGCAGTCTGTAGTCTCACACTCACATTTCATTTCATCCCCAAGGGGGTCTCCAGGACAAGAGCCCCACAGTCACTGGGCAGTACAGTTTGGTGAGTGGCCAGGGGCTGGTGGGCCCCTCTGCTCTTACCATGAGTGGTTCTTTAGCCTGGTTCTCAGCAGGAATCGCAGTCTGCGTGATTCCTGCCATGGCTTCCCAGAATCTAGTTGTCCCGTCTCCAAGTGCAGGCTTCTACGTGCAGCAAGGGAATGTGGGCATTTTGAAACTGGCTTTTTAGACCAGAAGCACAAGCAGCCAAGTGTAAAGGGTGTCAGCAGTGGTGGCCAGCCCTGAGGGAAGATATGGGACCAGCTGGGCTCTGTGCCAACTGCAAAAGAGGGGAAGCCTGCCCCAAAGGAAGGGGGGTGATTCTCCAAGGAGAACTTGCTCCTGACCCATCTTTTGTCATTCTAAAGCGGTGCCCACATTACTGGTCTTGCTCTGGCCCTAGGGCATGCACTACTTTCATTCATTAATGTATACTTCAAAATCAAGTCAATCTCATACAAATTGTGTTAGACCTCCCAATCAATTGCTACAGTTGAGCAGCATCCCTATTTTATTGAAGAAACTAAAGCTTCAGTGTGATTAATATGTTCTCCAAGGTGAAGTTTCTAGTAAGGGCAAGAACAAAAGTGTCAGGCCTCCTGGTTTTAATTTTTTCACTTGTACCCCTTTCAATGGACAAGTGTTACTGAATCCTTAGCATAGGACCAGCATCTAGGAGGGACTATTGAGGTTTCAAAGACACTGTGACTTTGTTCCAGACATTCTGGCACTTACAACTTGGTTCATCGCAAGTGAGAGATAAGGAAGGGCTGAGTCGTGTGCATTTTAATAAGATCTTGGTCTTTGGCTCAGTAAATGTTTCTTGAGCATTATGTGCAGACACTGGAAATTGGAGCAGAGGGACACAAAGATGAAAAGGATGTATGTACTCTATTCTCCAGAAGTTCAGTCCAACAAGGAACCTCCCTGCTCAGAACCATTCAATGGCTTCCTGCTGCTTCCAGGGTACAATCCAAAGTGCTTGTGTGGCCCACAAGGCTGCTTGGGAGCTGACCTTTGCCCTCTCCCAGTCTCACTGCTCCAACCTCACTGGGCCTCCTTCAGTTTCTTCTGGGTAAACTTTATTCCTTCCTTGGGATTCTTCTGTCCTGGGATAACTTTACAGATGTGTCATTTGAACAGGGCCTTAAAGAAAGAATAGGTTTCCAAGCAGAAAGCCATGGGGAGGGAGGAGGAATTTGACAGAGAGGAGCTTGTGGGGTGTACTGAGGAGTAATAGCTGGGGGGGGGGAGTTTTGTAGAAAAGGCAAAACATTCTTTGTGCAAAACCAACTTTGAATGTGCTGAGCAGAGCTGGTCTGGCAAGGCTGGAGGTGGGCCCAGGGTGGCAGGATGGATGGGAATTTGGGTGTGAGAGAAGGAGCACCTCAGCAAAGTTCCAGAGCTGAGATTACCTGAGGACAACCAGGGGCAGAAATGCAGCCCTAGAGGCAAGTTGGGAGGCAGTGCTCTGTGGGCTGGTGTGGCTTGTCAAGCAGGAGACTCAAACTCCAGTTGCAGCTCAGAACTTGCTTTGATGTCTTTGCTCCAGCCATTTCTCTTCCCCTGGGTCTTGGAATTTGTAAGGAAGATGGAGTAAATAATCTCTGTCTGTCTCCTTTCCAGATGAAATGTGCTCCTTAAAGGTCAGGCGATTTCAGTGACTTGCAGAAGCTGGAAGTATGCAAGGCATTGGAGGAGAGAACAATTTCCAGGAGGAGAGAGAGCCAGCCCATGCAGAGCACTGGCTTCATAGGCCTCTGCAGCATCCTGAGCTCTGTGCAAAAAGGATGGGGGGGAAGCAAGGGACTAAGGGTCCTGCCACTGGATAGGTGGATGAGGGTGGCTGCAGCCTGTGACTCATCCCTGTCCCACCAGGAACAGATCAACCCTCCATGGAATATTCCTGACTTTTCCTCCCTACTACCCTGATCTCAATGTGGGGAGAACCAGGCCCACCACCAGGGGAGAAGGCTGCTGTGGGCCCATAAAACTGAGGGAGAGGTTGGACATATTCAAAGAGTAAGGGGGGAGGGTGAAGAGCTGAAGGAGCTCTCTGGACTGTCCAAGTGACAGAATAAGCCCCTCACACAGGTTTTTTCTCTACTGACCCCTTTCTGTTCCATGGATGTCACTTGTCCCCCCCCCCCCTTGTTCTTTTTCTTTTTTGGAGCTTTCAGGGAGGGGGAGCAAGGCGAAGAGACTTTTTTTTTTTTTCACATGAGCCTTCAGAATTACAGTTCACAAACTATTCAGTAAACTGACCGGCCTCAACCTCCCCTTCAACGGCCTAATCTAAGGGGTGGATCTATGTGTTTTGTTGCTTGTCAGAAACAATCGCTGCGCGGCCCATTACATTTACAGCACGTCGCCCTTTAATTGGTGTAACACGCTGAGGCCTGAAAGGAGGAGAGGCCCACAAAGGCGCCGTGAATGAGCCTTGACTCACACAAAAACACTCTGCAGAAGTTCAGAGCTGGCCACTAACAAGGAGGTAGGGAGTTAGTTTGAAAAGGGGGTGAAGTTCAGAAATGTGTCACCTTGAGGAGCGTCCCATCAAAGCAATGGTCGCATTGACAAGCTGCAAAGAAAAAAGTTAGACCTTTCAGCGCTATGGACCTGTCTGCTGGATTTATTCTTAAACTTGAGGAGGGACAACGAGAAGGGAGTCTCTTTTTTCTCTCCTTACCCGCCCTGGGTTCTTTGCTCCCCTTTATTTCAGAAAGCCTTCAAAGAGTCGGGAGTGAAAAAAAACACACCTTCCACTCCCCACCCCTGCTAAGATACACTATTTAAAAAATAAATGTATCAAAAGTCAGGCGGAATGAGGCGGCCTTAGGCTGTGAAGGCTGATTTCGGCCGGCCTCCGTGCGAAGGGCGGGTTTTTTCAGTGCCATCTTGTCTCTCCCGCCCTCCGCGTCTTCAGGGCCAGTGCCGAGGCCAGGGCCAGTGACGAGGCCCTGGGCTGCTGGCGCTGAGGCCTAGGCCCGGGCGCAGCGCGGGATTGGAGATGCGCAGAGAAGGTGCACACCAGCGTAATGAGGGTGCCCTGCCCCGGGCAGAGTGGACTGGGGCGGGCCACTTGGAAGCCTTTGAGTCAGTTGGGTTCTGAATGCAAATGTCTTGTGCTTGCCCAAGGAGGACCCTGTTTTCCCTCTTCCCGCCTGTAACCCACAAAACAGCCAAGTGGGTTTCCAAACTTAGGTACCGGGCACAAAATTAAGTATCCCTAAAAGAAATGTGCAAGGGCCAGGGGTGAAGGGCACCCTTCCGCCATCAGGATGGGCTCAGCTCCTCCGGGAGCACCTTCCTCGCTCCAGATGCCCAGATTTTACCTAGTGGTGGTAGCGCTGGGGTCAGCCTCCTTTGGTACCCACTGGTGCACCTTCCTCCTGCCCTTCCTGTGGGGGGCACCGCACCACGCCTGCGCCCGAGTGGACACCTCTGTGTCCACTTCCCCTGCGTGCGCCCCGAGCTCCCCAGGCACCCTCTCAGCTCACCCCCTCCCGGCCTTTGTTGCGACCGGACCCCCGCCCCTCGCGCTGCTCCTGTGAACCGGCTGCCCCGTGCGAAGGCGGGGGCACTTTTCAATGCCGCGCCACAGCTCCCTCCAGATTTGTAATCCGCCAAAAAGCCGCTGATTGCTGCAATCGTTACTTTTCATTAAAAAAACTTAGAAGCAATTTGGGAGAACCCTTCTCAATGAATACATTTACCCCCGAACGGTCTTTATTCTCCGCCTCCACTTGATGAGTTTCTCTGGCACGAATCCGTTCTTACAGGCACAGAATGGGCAATCCCTTGATCCCCGTCAATTGTCATCCCGAGTCGGGGCCACTTTGACCGCCAATAGTGGGGAAGTCAGAGCTAATCCTCAGAAGGAATCACGGGAAAAGAAAAGCAACAATAACCAAGTCAAGCGTAAAAAATGAAAGAGAAATCTCTATTATCACTCACTACATTTCCCAGCTATGTACTGAAAAAATCAGCTCGCTTGTCATTCGAGTCAGACACCCGCACAAGAATATGGGGTCGTGGTGGGTTGGTAGACTCACACGACGTAAGGAGCGATATTTGAGAGCGAAAGGCCTCTCTTCTGCCTCTGCCAAATCCCCCTCACATCCGCCATAACCATTAAATACAGACTGACTTTATTCTGTATGGGGAGGCCCAGGGGTGGGTGGTGAGGGAGCCCCCCAGCTGTGCACGGATACAAAAAAAAAATCCCTGGAGAGTAGGATGGGGGCGGGGTAGGGACGCTGAGGAAACGAGCCCCTCTCCTGGAACCTCCCACTCCCCGCCCGCAGGCTGCTCTGCCAAGCCTTTAGCGGTCCAACCACCGCGCGGGCATCCCCTAGGCGCTCTGCCCACGACCCCCGCACTCCGCTAGCGCGCGTAGCCTAGGCGGCCGTCTAAGCGCTGGCCCAGGTGCCCTGTGCACGAGGCGCGTGGTTGGCTCAGCCCCACGTCTGGCAGGGAACCGTGGCCCTCGAGCTGTGGCTGGAGTGCGGCGTGAGAAGTCTGCGGAGAGGGGGAGCAGACACAGCGAGTCTTGCAAGTGTGCAAACATTTCCACTTTCCACGGTGACACCTACAATTATCTGACACGGGCCTTGATTCCTTTCTGTCACAGTCGAATAAGGGGCAGAGTTAGTTCTCAAGAGGCGGATGTCAAGCAGGCCGCCGCGTCTCCGGGGAAGAGTAGCCCCAGCAGCGGACCCCTCCCCCCCATCTTCGAGGTTAGGGACGGCTCCTGTACCAGTAGACGAGGGGGTCCACGTCCATACTCTCACTGGCATCGACTTGGTAGCCCAAACTGCCTCGGGCGGAGAAAGCCCCGGCCGCGGTGTGGTTCTGGCTGGTGCAGCGGCCTTTCCACGTTCACTTCTCTGGTTATGTTAAAAAGCCGGTCTTTGGGCGTCCTTGTGGCCACTTTCATTTTCTTTGAGTGGGTAGAGGGAAAGGTAAGGCAATGGAAAGGTAAGGCTGCCTTTCCTGGTTGCTCATAGAACCGTAGCAAAGGGCCGCGTGCTGCACCAAGGTGTTTCCTTTCTCGCCTTGTCCACCCGACGGGTGCAGCTGCAGACGGAAGCTCTGTCTCCTGCCTCCTACTGGGTCCCCTAAAGGGCTTCGGGGCGTCCCGAGGCATTGAAGGGGTTCTGTCTTACCCCTGGGCGCCCAAACCTGTGAAACTCGCTGTGCTTCTCTCGCTGGGGAACCTCTCCTGTTTGTCACCTCCCTCCTCCGCGCCACACTCAACATCACACATCACTCACACGATATCATATGTATATATTACATACACTACGTTTCATTTACACACTTGTGTACACACATGCAGAAAAAACAAGTTCACGCAGTAACAAATTTACAAAACATATCACACTTATAAAAGAGTTGAACTCACCCCCCCATACACACACATTCCTGCACACACAAGCACAAGCTGCACGTGCACACTCCCGCACATGCTAGCAGTGTACAAGTACGCGCCCTTGGGAGCCCACGAACCGGCTTTGTCCCGAATGGCGAGTCTGGCAGAAGGGACTAGAAGGAGCCACCCAGGTGGTGGGGAGGAGATCTTACGCTTTAGCCTTGGGCCTGGTTTGGGGATCCTTGCTAGAGAGCAGGGCCTGGAACTTTTTGTGGGGTCAGCGCTACACTCATACAGCTTATCCTTCGAGCACTGCAGAGTTGGGCCTGTCTAGGGGCTTCACCGACTAGGTTAGAGCCCTCAGCAAGGACCCGCTCACAAAGGCACTGGACACTCGCCCATGTGCCCCCAAAGGAGTTGGACAGGATTCCCTACCCGGGCTGCGGGAGTGTGGGTGGGATGGGCAGAAAAGGAGGAGATCCAGTGAGCACCATCCTCACCCAGCTTGGGCAGCCTGGGGGGAAGGCTTAGAGGGCGGGGGTGATAATCACAATCTACAAAGCCATTGAGAGCTTTCAGTCCTGCCCCAGATTTACATAAATGGAATCCACGCTTGGTCCGTGGTCTGGAAAGGGTGCTTGCAGAGAGGGCGACACTCTGCAATCCTAATTAGTGATTTTTGTCCCCTTGTTACTGGGCTCAGCATCTCATGCAAATGAACTCTTCATTTCAGCCACATTACCCCAGCTCCAGAATTAACTGACTCTTATCTTTAATGATATGCTGCTGAAGTTCTCCGAGCCCGGCTAGCTTTTTATCTTGATTACTCTAATCAATAAGAAATGATAGAGTAGAATTATAAACTCTATTGGCTTTTAAATGTTGCCGACAAGCCCTCTAGATGCCATTCCTGTTCATTGTTATTTATTAAAATGATCCTCAGCCTAACAGCGGATGCAAATAGAGAGACGAAGAAGAAGAATTGGCCTTGGGACTCGTCCCAGTCAGTCCCTGACATCACGCCCCCCCCGCCCCGCCCCCGGGAAGATTCCTCGCACTTTGGACTTGAGAAGGTGAAAAACACCTCCCCCTACATACATTTAAAAAGCTTTAAAAAGAAAATTGCTCTTTTGAAGTCATCACAGAAAAAGAAAAACAAATGAAGACCCACCCCCACACACTCCATCCAGATAGACCTCCTTGAAGGTAGAAGATTTGAAAAAGGCATTTGGAGACATAGAGCCTCATGTTCTGGGAATAAAAATCTGTAGAACACAGGCGTGAGCACGCCCGCGGGAAAGCACAGGCACATACACTCTTCATCTGTCGACCTCCCCACCCCCGCATGGACTTTCTGCATACCAGTATCTCTAGATTTGAGGGTAGGTATAATTTCAGGCACACCTCGCAAATGCAATTTTCCTACCCACTTCTGGGGAAAAAATGGGGATGAGG